ACAACTTAGATGGTATTTACCAGGTACCAGGCACCAGGCTAGCTGTTCTGCATATATTACTTCATGCGATTCATACCATAAGACTTCTTCTGATTACCCTGTGAGACTGTGTCATCACCATTTTACAAGTGACAAAATAGTGGCTTAGAGTGTTTTAAAAGGACATTTTCACACTCTCAGAGCCTACAAGGGGGCAGAGTGTGGCTTCACATTCAGGTCTGACCCCCAAGCCAGGTTCCCCAGTGCCTCCCTGCCCCTGCCCTTTTTGTCAGGATGAGTCTTGCTGCCAGGCATGGGTTGACAATTCACAGTGCATGTTGACTGGTTTCAGGAGATATTTTCCCTTGGAGAATTTGCTTCAGTCAATATAGACTTTGGAGAAATGCAAGTTGACTGTTTGCTCAAAGCAAACACCACCAAAAGGCAATATGCATTCTGGGACTAGAAAAACCATCCACAAACGTAAATGTACGAGAAGCAAGTAATCCCCGAACGGGGCAGGATCTCATGCAATATTCTCAGTTCTGCATCCACGTGCTTTCGACACATCTCACAACGTCTACCTGACCAGAATAGGCAGTGATGATCTCGAACATCGGGATGGAGGTACAAGGGGCATGTCTCATTATCCGAGAAACTGCTGAAATGTGGATGCCCACAGTCAAATTCAGTGTGAGGAAGGATATTTTCCTTCCTTTGCAATCCCTGACTCTAATTTCTACCTCCCAAAGACATCTGGAGCATATCCTCAGACCCAAAAATGGGCCAGCCTCCCCAAAGCTGCCTTCCTTTTCTTCAATGACACATGGAAATCCTCCATTTTCTTTCATGTGGGGTACACCTCGCCCACTAGGCTTAGATCTTAGTCATCACTTCCCCATGCAGTGTTTGCTGGGTAAAGTAACTTCATCTCACCATGAGCATGGTTCCTGTGGGATTCGGAGCAGGGAAACCCTTGGTGATGGAGCTGTATGGACCACAGCTGTTAGGCACCCTTCTGAAGGATGCAGAATCCTGGCTGGTGCTGTACCTAGCCTGTCCATGGCTCTCTACAGCCTTGGCCCAGGGGACTGGGGACCCTTAACTTCAAGGTCTTATTGCTGGCAGGACTCTAGAGATCTTAGAACCCACTCTATTCTCGTAAGAGCTCTGACTGCCTTCATCCAAATGATGTCCCAGCCTGTTCATGGCCAAGGCTGCTATGAAGCCCACCATAAGTATGCTCCATCCTAAGATGATGCCCTCATCCACACCAAAGTGCCAACACCGTGAAGGGATGGCATGGAGAGCAGGAAGAAATTCCTGAGAGCCTTTGTTCCACTAGACCCATGGTCACCAACTGCCGATGAATTCATACTTACAGTAACAACATCTTCAAGCATGCAACTCCAATATACGTATATTTATTTACAATCCCATACCCATATGATTGCATAATCCTACACAATAGTCATTGTAAGCATAAAGAAGGATCTTTTAAAAGATGAGATAAGGAATTCAATAATACTTGTTTTAAAAATTAATTGCTTTTTATATTAAAGGAACATATAACCTTTTTGCTCTTACTAAAAATATGCATATAACAGTGATTCGATATTCTGGTTTTAATTTAGTCTAATTAAATATTAGACTTCAGTGCTGAGCATGGCTACCTAAGAGAGCTCCTCAAAACACACAGACCTAGAGGATCTTAGGCAGGCAGAGTGAGTCACGATTTCCTCACTCATCTGGTAAACTCCTTAACCAACTGCGCAGGGCCCTCTTCCAGTTTTGGGTGTGTCCCTTGAAATGTCCTGCTTCTGGTAACGGTTTCATACAACACTTTGTCAACACCTGAAGCCCCAGAATACCATCAGGATTAGGTGTATTGTGAAGAACTGTAGTTACAACTCCATACATCAAATAGCTCTTTACATAAGCTCAACTCTCTAAGCCTACCTATTCTTGAATCTGATCAGCTTGCCGTTCCATCCCAGGGTGCACGTGAACAGGCTGCACAGGAGAAGACCAGGGCAGTTCTGTCCTTTGCTGCTGCTCACCACACGTTCATTAGCAATATTACCTTCGATTCATGATGGCTTTACAGTATTTATTTTTAGGCCACTAGCTATTTTATGAGGGTTAGTGTAATTAAAGGAAGAAAACAGTTTACGGACGTGTATACCTGTCCAGTCCCAAACTGTACTATTTGGCAACGTGAGGATGAGGTCATCAACTTGTCTGAACTGTGGGGGGCCCTGTTATTTGATGCCAGAGTTACTGGGTAGAACTCACGACTGGATGCCATATGGACACAGATTTTTCCAGGGTCATTCTGGATTCTAATTATTCATAGAGCTTTATTTCCCTTTGATTTTTTTAAAAAGATTTTATTCATTTATTTGTCAGAGAGAGAGAGAGAGAGAGCACGCACAAGCAAGGGGGAGCGGCAGGCAGAGCAGGCAGCAGGAGAAGCAGGCTCCCTGCTGAGCAAGAAACTCCATGTGGGACTCGATCCCAGGACACTGGGATCATGACCTGAGCCGAAGGCAGCAGCCCAACTGACTGAGCTACCCAGGCATCCCTTCTCTCTGATTTTTGATGAAAAGAATTATAAATGGAAGTTTTAAAATTTTCTTCCCACATCTTCATGGATGTTTTGTGTAGCCCTGGCGGGGGAGGCAGCCCACCCTGGAGACCAGGCTTATACGGTAGAAAACCAACAACTCAGCCCCAGAACCCCCCTCTATTATGTTAGAGCTTCGAATTGTTCCATCCCCCTGATCCCGAGTTACCCATGGGTTAAAGTAAAGACACTACCACTCGGGCTATGGTTGGTGATGAAGATTTAGGAACTCATCAGTAGAAGTGTCTAACACATGATAGACACATGACATTCTCCAACGTGAACAGGAGAATGGGGGGAGGTACCAAATGGGCTCCAGAAAGCAATAACCAAGCCAGGACTCGAGAAGCCAGGCCCCAAGCCCAGAGTTTTCTCACTACACCGCAACTTCTGCTCAGGTAAGGACGGTCCGTCTGATGCTGACGAGCTTCTGGAGGATGCCCAGATCTTTGCTTCCTGAAAACTCAGCTCCAGAACCCCGACCAGAAATGAGGGCCCCTGTCCCTGGGACATAGCTGGTCCCAGGATCATTGCCCATTCCCCGCACCACCTGCTTCAGGTCACCCACCAACATCTCCTCCTGGAACAAGGAGCCATCATATACAAGGCGCACTGGAAGCAATGACTCCGAACGATCCTTCTGAAACTGGAGACGGACCCGGGTGGCAGAGGGCGAAAGTGTGGGATGGTCTCTACTTCTCCGCCCTGAGTCTAGACTGTCCTTGAACTTGGCCTTGGCCAGCGGAAGGCCCGGGAAGCCCCTCTGTGAGTTCGAGGCTCCCTGGCAGGATGTCGTGTGTGTTTCCACTCCTGCTTGTAGGGCTCATCTGCCGCCTCCCAGCCGAGGGCCCAGGCCTGGAGCAAACCACGGCAAGGGCGGCCAGGCCCTGTAATCCAGCTCAACCTGCCTGCCCTCGGAATCTACAGCTGAATGGAAACCTGCAGTTTTAAGGCACTACGGTTAAGGTTCGGGATACTCTGTTCCGTGGCAAAAACAAACCAGTAGATGGAACCACTTAGAAGCATCAAGTTGAACAAAGATCAAAATGCTCAGCAAAGCTTGGTTTTAAAGTAACCTTCCTCCTCTCTCCCGCGAACCTCCCCTCCTCCCTTCTCAGACTTGCGTTTCAGGACTAAGGGGGACACTGGCAGCTCATCCACAATTCCTGTCAAAACCAGTTAGATCCTGTATTTCCCAATGAAACAGCCCAGCCCCTTCCTCTTTCAGATTTCAATTTTGAAGGCTGTGGGCTGCCGGCTGCTTCCTTTGGCCCCGCACAGCAGTAAAACTAGTGTTCCTCTTTATCCCTGACCCTGTCTTGGGTTGTATTCTGGCTCTGAAGCATGGAGGTCAGTTTTCCACAACACAGATACCTCCTATTTTGCACTGTTAACTTGAACACATCACCAATGCAGTCTCTATGAACTTCCTTGTCTGTAACCCAGAGCCCTCCGCTGGGACTAGAAGCTTCACATACACCATCCCACGTGGTTATCAACTGCAGTGACCTTGAGAGGAAGGTCTGTCCTGAAGACCTATTGAGGTCACGCGTGTACAGCACCAAATTCAGTGCATCCTTAAAGACTCGAAGCAATTACACTTTAATTCTTTACTTAAAGAGGACATCATAAATTTTCAGTCCTTGAGAGATCTAGGCACAGGTATTAGGTATGATACACAGTTTTGGGGAAATGGGCCTACAAATATTGATCATGAAGACATCTTATTGTCAGAGCTATACAAGCAAGCTTCATTTCCAATAAATTCACTTCCCAGTAAAACCGACCAACGTACATCAAGGGAAGAAGAACCCAGAAGAGCAAAGGTGGACGGGAGTGCAGGAGGGAGGGGAGAAATTCACACTCTCAAGTCGGTCAGTGTGTGGGCGATTTTCAACCTCACTCAATGTTTGGATGTTCCACTTGGCAGGAAAAATAATGAAAATCCTTTTCTTGTTAATCCAAAATGTCCTACCACCTGTCCTTACCACCTCTATTTCCTGCCAGGAGAAACACACACATACACAGAGGACCCTTGAACAACAATGGGGTTCGAGGCACCCACCCACAGTCAAAAATCATGTAGGACTTTGGACTCTCCCAAAACTTAACTACTACTAGCCCACTGTTGAACAGAAGCCTTACTGATCATATAGACAGTCAGATACACATATTTTATATGTTGTATGTATTACACACTGTATTCTTAACCTAAAGGAAGCTAGAGGAAGGAAAATGTTATTAAGCAAATCGTAAGGAAGAGAAATAACATCCATAGTGCTATGCTGCATTTAGAAATCCATGTTCTACTGGACCACACAGCTCACACCCGTGTCGTTAAAGGGTCAACCATGTATGTATGTACACAACAACAGATACAGAGATGCATACTTACCCTCTCTGAAAGAGATCCACATTATAAAATTTATGTAGCTCTACAGAAAACTCAACCGTTCCTTGTACTTCAGACATGATCTTTTTGGTTCATTACCTGAAAAAGAAGAGAGAAATTAAGAGCTTGAGATTCCATCAGCCAAACAGAGAAAAGCTGGGCTTCCACAGGGGAAACCCAATGTACTTGACCAATGGGAGCATGGTGCATTCATTGGATGTCATCACTCGAGGTTCCCTTTACAGGAAAAGACAGAGACAGAAGACACACTTACTGTTGCTCAGCTCACTCCTCAAAGGACCAGACTTGGACCCAGTTGTCCTAATCCTAAAGTGGGGCTAGTCTACAGCACTTCCTTACCTGTCAGTGTCATGGAGGCAAAAGCAGCCCAGCCATGAGCACAAGGCCAATGGCCAATGGAGAGAGTCCCAGCTCTCCCACTTTCTACCTGTGTGACTGAGCAAATTAGTTAATGTCTTCTCTATAACATGACTCCTGGTAATAGCACAGAACAGATAAAGGATGGACGAATTAAATGGGTCTACCACACAGAGTACTTCGCACAGTTCCTGACATGCACAATGATTAATATCAGTAATTGAGAGTGACTTTATCATTGTTAGCATAAATGCCATCTTGAAAGGGCTAAGGGGCCTGGAGGGGCAAGGCCAGATGTGCTCTCCACCGAGCAAGGGAAGCAGAGGGAGTGGGTGCCACTGCCCAGCAGATGTTGAGCCCAGCTCGACAGGATGCTCATTTTCCCAGCGAAGAAACCTGAGGGCCAATAACAAGAGGGCTGGATGGGGAAGAGGGAGGGGACAAAATTAAAACAGTACAAGTCTAGGAAGAGAAATGAACCAAGGGGAAGAAAGACTCAAAGTAGGCTGAATTTTCTGAGGGTATGAGACTATCTAGACACCAATGATTAGGAGGAAGGGAAAGAAACTGACTTTTATGGGGCATCTACTATATACTCTTGGGGCTACATGAAGTATTTTCTATAAGTTGCCTAATTTTGACCAAGAAGAATTTTGTGATAAAGTTTCTTGCCCCATAATGTAGATGAGGAAAAGGATCAGAGAGGCTCTAATCTAAACCCACTTTCCTCCTCTAGAATGCTCTAGTGGTGTGTACTGTGGAAGGTGTCTGCTCTCCCTCCAAGCCTCAGTCTGCCACCATGTGTAATGGGACGATACAAGCTACGTAGGATGAGTTCCCATAGAATAGGAGATAATTACTTGCAATGAGCAGGTTCTTGGGGAACCAGCAGGTTCTCCCTGGATAGTGGCTGGCATGATGTTGGGAAAGGGGATAATAAGAGAGGGAGGAGGGAAGCCAAGAGGAGATCCAGTCTCTCCTACCTGGCACCTAGGTCTCCTTTGAAAGCCTCTCTTCCCTCTACTCCCCTGATGCCTCAAAGACCAGAACACCATCACTGGGGTTCAAAGTGCAACTTCACTGTAGCCAGTGGGGTCATGCCAGGCCAGCTCCCAAGAATAAAAACACAAGAGATTAACGTGGCCTTGACTGTGTGCCTTGGCTCTGACACGGGTGCCGCGCAGGGAAACATTTCTGAAGATGCAGAATTCCGCTGGCCAAATTAAAATGCAGCAGATCCCAGAACACAGCTTCTATAAATCCTATAAGCGGAATTACAAGCTGGCACACCCGGAGAAGTCTGGCTCCCAAAATGCACTGAAAACCAATCTCCGTAATGGGAGAGCCCTGGAGGTGCACACCTGAGCCGGTCAAGGTCAGAACCACACACACCCCCTCCCCGGCCCCAATTTCAATGTCGAGGCACTTCCAGTAAGAGCTGGGCAGGGGGCCAGCAAATAAAGCCACTCCGCACCTAAATTCATTATCACGTGAAACATGGGGACAGCTGCCTCTTCCCTACTTCTGTCTCCCATGCTCAGACTCGATCCGTAGAATCCTGCAGAGCCAGCAAGCCATCTGACCCCTGCTTATGGTGGCAGCACCTATAATTCCTGACCCTCCCAGATCCCCGGCCTTGGGAGGATGTTACAGAGTAAGGAACAGAGGGAGAGCCAGAACAGCATACACTAACACTCCAGCCTACTGCACACCAAACACTGCTCGGGGGTGGCGGGTACGTATGTATTTCACGCCCACCATGAAACACGTCTGCAGCGGGCAGTCCTGGCGCCAGTCACCCAGGAGGCAGCCACACCATACAGAAGAACAGCACTGACCCAGGAGCTACAGACACTACTTTTCCATCTCTGGCCCTTACCGGTAGAATGGCTGGGACAGTGTTTTTCTGGGGAGTTAGTCTTTAGAAGAAAAAATACTTAGTGCATGGAGGATTCCATGCAGAACATTGTTTTCTCCTGGGAAGATGTGCCCTCGTGCCCTCATGCCCTACTGCTCAGGACACATTAGCTGGAACACGTAAATGCAAACCCAGCTTATGAGTGGAAAGCTACCTGTTCCTTTTAAGGTCATGTGATTCATTAAAACCCAAATACCAAGTTAGTCCATGAGGAAGATGAGTTCACATTTAAAATACCAGTTTTGGGGCACCTGAGTGGCTCAGTGGGTTGAGCCTCTGCCTTCAGCTCAGGTCATGATCTCGGGGTCCTGGGATGGAGCCCCGCATTGGGCTCTCTGCTCAGCAGGGAGTCTGCTTCTCCCTCTCCCTCTGCCTGCCTCTCGGCCTACTTGTGATCTCTCTCTCTGTCAAACAAATAAATAAAAATCTTTAAAAAAAATAAAATACTAGTTTTACAGTGTGGAGATTCCTCAAAAAATTAAAAACAGAAAGAGAATATGATCTAGTAATTCCACTGCTGGGTATTTACCCAAAGACAACGAAAACACGAATTTGAAAAGACACACCCACCCTTCTGTTGACTGCAGCATTGTTTGTAACGGCCAAGATAGGGAAGCAGCCCAAGCGTCCACCGACAGACGAACGGACAAAGGAGACGTGGTACATACTCACAGCAGAGTATTACTGAGCCGTGAAGATGAAATCTTGCCTTTTGCGGGAGTATGGAAGGAGCTAGCAGATACTACCCTAAGTCCATTAAGTCAAACGGAGAAAGACAAATGACAGATCGTTTCACTTACTTGTGGAATCCGAAACACCAAATGAACAAGCAAAACCGGAAACGTCTCACAAACCGGAGGCTGTGAGACGGGAGGGGCTTGGGAGACAGGTGAAGTGGTACAGGGGATGAAGGGGTACACACTTCCAGTTACAAAACAGAGTCCCAGGGTGGACAGTACTGCATAACGAATACGGTCGCGGACACCGTCCTGCCGTGCGGTGACAGATGGGGACCGCGGCTAGCACAGTGGGCACTGAGTCATGTGCAGAACTGTTGAGCCATTCTGTCACGCGTGTGACACTGCACATCAATGACACTGCCATAACAAAGACACAGAATAAAATAAAATACGTTTGAAAACTCCATATTGGGGCACCTGGTGGCTCGGTCGGTTGAGTGTCTGGCTTTCGGTTTTGGCTCAGGTCATGATCTCAGGGTCGTGGGATCAAGCCCCACACTGGGCTCTGCGCCCAGCACAAAGTCTGCTTCAGATTCTCTCTCCCACTTTCTCTGTCTCTCCCTCTCAAATAAATACATACAATCTTAAAAAAGAAAAACTCTCCATATTGATTTTGCCAGTAATTGTACATGGTCCAGTTGGCAGAGATCGCAGGAATCTGTAGGAATCCCCAATTATCAGCTTGGGTCCCAGCCATCTCCTCTGCCCTTTCTATCTGAGGAAAAGAGAGAACATAGTCAGAGGAGGGGCTACACGTGGGGCCCCAGGTCAGCAACCTCAGCATCACTTGTTTTGAAAGCAAAGTCTTGGGTCCCCCCCTCAGATCCACTAAGCCAGAAACTGTAGGGACGAGGCTCGGGAAAAGAGTCCACGCCCTCCAGGGAACGCTGATGCCAACACCCTCTCAGAACCACTGGTGCACAGTCTTAGGGGCTGCAGTTTCCCAGACCTGAGATCACCAGCTGCCTGGGGGCTGCCTCGCCTTGGGCCCCCTGCTTCGCTGGATCTCTGTCCCTCAGCCTCCTCCGCGTGCTGTGAGGAGTAAAGGGCTGCCTGCCCCGTCCGGTGGTTTTCATGATCAACAGAGATCAAGCACAGGGAATGGCCGACATGGGTTAGAGCACACACACACAAGACAGGCATTTTTAAAAATACAGGCCAGATTTAATTTAAAAAATGTCCCACTGGGCAGGAAGATGCCAGCTCTGTGGGAGGAAGTGCCCCATGACAGTGTCTGTAAATATACAAATGGCTCAAAGAGCAGTCGCGGCGGTATCCCCATCGCCCACATGGTAGAATTCACCGGCTCCTCAAAATACACAGGGTGTGGACTACTAAGGGGCGCATTATGGATCCACAGCCGAGTAACAAATAACCCAAGCCTCCCACGGGCACAGGGCCGATAGGTGACACACGCTCGTACGCTCCCCACTCACATTACGCTCATATATCCAGGGCACACTCAGACACCAGCACAAACACACACACCAGGTGTACACACATAAAACACACTCGCCAACACATGAGACCACATGGCATATACCCCATCACATGCAACATGCAACACACCTGACCCATGATACACACAGGCACCACACCCACCCCACGTGCACCACTTTCTGCGCTAACTTCCTGCTACAACCAGCAACCGTTCCCAAGCTGGAGACTGCGATCATCCGACCACATCTGCGGCCCCGAGAGGCTCAGCTCCCTACATGCATTTCCTGAAAGCCTCCTACACGTCCAGGAGCTGCACCTGTGAGCTCAGGGCTAGGACAGGGCGATCGAGTGCCAGTCTAAAGGAAAGGGAGGAGGACGGGGAGGGAGAGAACTGGATGCTCGGGGAAGGCGCCCCTGGGAAGGCAGACTTGTGATTGGTGAGGCCATGTCCAGTCCAGGGTCACCCATGGAAACCTTCCTCCACTTAAAAAGCGAGAAGGGATCCGTGCATCTTGATGTTTACGGCTGCGTTATCTACGATAGCCCAACTGTGGAAAGGGCCAGATGTCCATCAGTAAGCGAACGGATAAAGAAGATGTGGTTCGTACACAATGGGATAATCC